ATGGGGGGGGGGAGATGCCAAAGTGCCTGGAGGGATATTTTTGTGTGCCTGGTGCCCCCCGTGTTGTTAGGATGGCAGTTCCAGAGTCTCAATCCTGCTTTGAAAAAAGTGGGTGTTTTGAACCCCCTTGTCCATTGGAATCTGGTATTATTAAGATCGCTCCCCCAAAACCCCCCACGAGGCGTCCAATTCCTATAAGATGTGTGTGGGGTGCGTGGCAAAAAAGGAGAGGAGGGGGAAAAGAAAAACAAGCTCATTTCTCCCAGCAAAGATGGCGATGGCACGTATATTTAATCTCCTAACAACACTCCAGCGCTCTCCCAGGACTGGAGGGGGGGGGGCACACAAGGGTCCGAGGCAAGGAGTGGGGTGGGTCTTCATTCTTCACCCCCCCCCCCCCCCCCCCTTTTCCTCTGCTGAGGAAGGACTCTTTCCCTGGAACGACTCCACCTTGAAAAAGCCAGGAGGAACAAAACAACCCATAGGATGAAGCAGCTCCATTGCACGAAAGAGGGAGGGAAGGAGGGGGGCAGAAGAAGTGGGGTCCAGGGCGGCTGAGAGGACTCAAGAAAGCCGGGACCCCATTGCAGAAGGTCCTTTATTGGGGGGCTCTTGAGTGTCCCCTCCCCAACTCCGTCTCTTCTAAGTAAAGCACGAGAATATAAACGTAAACAAACTTGGATCCAATGGGGATCATGTCCGGGGAGGGGGGGGGGTCGTATACAAAAGCAGTGACCCTATTGCTTAGGATCATTTATTGGGGTCCCACCCCCACCCCAACTCCTTCTTCCCAACTCCGTCTTCTCCATAAACAACAGAGAAAGGGGCAAAATTAAAGTGGAATCAAATGGGAATCATGTCCAGGGGGGCGATTAGGATTAAATCCGGGACCTTATTTCTTTGGACCATTTATTGGGGGGGGGGCTGTTTGGTCCCCACCCCCACCCCAACTCCGTGTCTTTCTTCCCGTCTTCTGGTATAGAAGCTCCATGTTAAAACACGAGAGAGGTGACCAAAAATAAATAAAATAAAATCGGGGAATCTAAAAAATCATTTCCAAGGGATTTTTTAAAAAATATAAATATTATTACAGAGTCTGGGCCCCATTTCCTATGACTTTTTATTGGGGTGCTGTTTGGTGCCCCCCCCCCCCCCTCGCCTCAACTCCTCGTCCTTCTCTTTATGCGGCCAGGCTCATGTATTTACTTACTACTGTAATGCTATTTAAGGGGAGATAAAGTGAAAAAAAAAAAGGGGGGGGGGTCATTATTACAAAACCGGGGCCCCATTTCCTAGGGCCATTTATTGGGGTGCTGTTTGCCTCTCCTTCCCCCACCCCCCTCCTTATGCAGCCAGGCTGATGTATTTATTTACTACTGTAATGTTATTGAAGGGGAGATAAAGGAAAAGGGGAGGGGGGGGGTCCAAGGTCCATGTCACCCCTTTGTTAGAAGAGTGTGGTCCCGGGCGCCCCACTTTCCAGGACATCCCCACCTCCCGATCATGTCCAGAGGGGAGTTTGTGTATACATAATCATATTTCCTATGACTTTTTATTGGGGTACTGTTTGGTGCCCCTTCCCCTCTCGCCTCAACTCCTCCTTCTCCTTATTGGGGTGCTGCTTGGTGCCCTTTCCTCTCCCTCCACAACTCCTCCTTCTCCTTATTGGGGTGCTCTTTGCTCCCCTCCCTCCACAACTCATTCTTCTCCTTATACAGCCAGGCTGATGTATTTATTTACTTCTGTAATGTTATTTAAGGGGAGATAAAGGAAAGGGCCCCCATTATTACCAAGCCGGGGCCCCATTTCCTAGGGCCGTTTATTGGGGTGCTGTCTGGTGCCCTTTCCCCTCCCTCCCCAACTCCCCTCCTCCTCATTGGGGTGCTGTTTGCTCCCCTCCCGCCCCAACTCCTTCTTCCCTTATGCAGCCAGGCTGATATATTTATTTACTAATATTATTTAAGGGGAGATAAAAGAAAGGGCCCCCATTATTACAAAGCCAGGGACCCATTTCCTAGGGTCGTTTATTGGGGTGCTGTTTGGTGCCCCTTCCCTCCCCAACTCCTTCTTCTCCTTATGCAGCCAGACTGATGTATTTATTTACTACTGTCATGTTATTGAAGGAGAGATAAAGGAAGGGCGGGGGGTCCAGCGTCCATGACACCCCTTTGTTGGAGGGTGGTCCCGAGCGCCCCACTTTCCACCATCCACCTTGCACGACCCCCCCCCCKCAAAGGACCATGTCGAGAGGGGTTTGTGTATATATAATAACATCAGTGTTGTTACAAAGCCGGGAGCCCCCATTCCCTAAGAAAAGGGGGTCCAAGGTCCATGTCAATCTTTTGTTGGAGGAGGGTGGTCCCGAGCGCCCCACTTTTCACCTTCCGCCTTGCACGATCCCCCCTCCAAAAGATCATGTCCAGAGGGGTTTATGTATATACAGTATAATAACAACAATATTGTTACAAAGCCGGGAGCCCCCCATTTCTAAGGAAAAGGGGGTCCAAGGTCCATATCACCCCTTTGTTGGAGGAGGGTGGTCCCAGGCGCCCGACTTTCCGCCTTCCGCCTTCCGCCTTACACGATCCCCCCCAAAAAGGATCATGTCCAGAAGGGCTTATGTATATACAGTACAATAACAACAATATTGTTACAAAGCCGGGAGCCCCATTTCCTAGGAAAAGGGGGTCCAAGGTCCATGTCACCCCCTTTGTTGGAGGAGGGTGGTCCCGGGCGCCCCACTTGGCCCCTTCCACTTTTGCACGAGCCCCTTCCTCCCCCCAAGTTTCCCAAAAGTGGCTTCCCAAGGGCTGCTGTGGGGGAAGGGAGGAGAAGTTTGCATGGCTTGGCTGCAAAGTTCCCTTGGAAGTAGAGGAAGGCTCCCTGCTCTCCAGGAGGGGCGGGGGGTCCTGGCGGGAGGGGGRCCTGGGGATGTGGGGMGCGGGGACCCACTCTTRGGGGGCACCCTTGTCCCACTCCTTGGCAGCCAGGTCCCAGCCGAGCCCTCCCGCCCGGCCGGGGATGCCCTGTGTTAGTTGGGTCCCTTTGGGGGCGCGCTGTGGGGCGGCGGAGGGGCGCAGGGGGCGGGGGCCGGGGTAGGGACGAGCCCCAAGGACCCCTCTCTCCGCCCGCCTTGCCTGCCCCATTGGGGTGAACTGCGAGGGGCCCCAATGGGGGCGCGAAGAGGGCAGGCAGAGAAGCGCGCGGGGTCCAGCCGCGTTTGGGGCTCCCGTGCGGGGATGTGGGGCGCCCTCTCCGAGTTTCAGCCCGTTGGGGTTCCGCTGGGGGGCGGCGTGCAGGCTGCGGCGGGGCGGCGGGGCGCAAAGGGGCCCCACGGAGCCAGGAAAGGGCCCCAAAGCAGGCGGAAGAAACACAGATGTCTGCGGCGCGGCGCCATTCGGGGGCCTGAGCATGCAGCCAGCAGCGCGGTCCTCACCGCGGTCCGCGCCTCAGTGCTAAATACCCGGATGCGCCGGCTGCTGCCTCTTACAGAGCCAAAGAGAGGCGGAGAGAGGAGCAGCAGCACTGAGCAGCAGCAGCAGCAGCAGCAGCAGAGCCTGGCAAGAGAAGCAAAAGAAGGAGGGAAGGAGAAGAAGGGGGAAGCCAGCCCTGGAAAGAAAGGGGCCAAAGAAGGGCCCAGCCAAGGACTGATTCTTAGGCCTTGCTGAAAGCTGGGGCTGCTCCAAACTGACTCTCAGGCCTTTTGAGTAGCCAGAGTTTGCTCCTTCAGGAAAACAGCTCCAAGACCACACCCTGCTGCTTTGGGAAGACACCTTCAAAGGGTCCCAACAATAAAGGACCATTGTCAAGAGAAGTTGCATCCTTCCTGTGCTTGGAGGAAGACCTTCAACCTGTGACACTGAGAGAGAGACCTTCAACCAGTGACACCCCCAAAGGACAATTGTGAAGGCAACTTAGACCTTCTCTCCTCTGTCCCAAGAAGTCCACCAAGGTTTGGAGCAACAAGAGAGCCAAGCAGGATGACGGAGAACTCGTCCGCAGCACCTGCTTCCAAGCCGAAGAGGTCCTCGGCGGCCAAGAAGTCCACGGACCACCCCAAATACTCCGACATGATTGTGGCCGCCATCCAGGCTGAGAAGAGCCGGGCCGGTTCGTCTCGCCAGTCCATCCAGAAGTACATCAAGAGCCACTACAAGGTGGGGGAGAACGCCGACTCCCAGATCAAGCTGTCCATCAAGAGGCTGGTCACCACAGGTGTCCTCAAGCAGACCAAAGGGGTCGGGGCCTCGGGCTCCTTCCGCCTGGCCAAAGGCGACGAGCCCAAGAAAGCGCCGGTCAAGAAGGCCAAGAAGGAGGTCAAGAAGGCCGTGACGCCCAAGAAAGCAGCCAAGCCCAAGAAGGCACCGGCCAAGTCGCCAGCCAAGAAGGCCAAGCCCGCGGCCAAGAAAGCCAAAAAGAAGCCGGCTCCGGCTCCAAAGAAAGCCAAGAAGCCAAAGACTGTCAAGGCCAAGCCGGTGAAAGCATCGAAGCCGAAGAAGGCCAAGGCGTCCAAACCCAAAGCAAAGTCCAGCGCAAAGAAGTCGGCCAAGAAAAAGTGAGGTGCAAGCTCGGGACCTTCTTTCTTTGGACATTCTCCTTGACCTCGACTCTGTAAATAGATTTCTCCTTTATTCCCTACTACTTTCTACTGCAGCTTTATAAAGACTGGACTATTCTCCTCTCATAGTTTACTGGAAAAACAAACCACCCATCAATATAGAAAGAAAGCCTTTTGGGGGGGATTGGATCCTCTCATACATCACATGTAATTTTAAATGTATTTTTTTCTCTGTGTGTGTTCATCTTTGCCTCCTTGCCTCATTAAAGGTATGCAATACTTGTTTGTGTTTTGAGCATGAGGGAAGGAAGACACAATCAGATCGGGATGTTTTGAATGTTCCTACTGCTTTGGTGAGGTTTTGTGGGGTGGGTGCCTAAGAAAGGGACGTGGTTTGGGCCCACTTTGAAAGAAACCCTTTAAATCATGTGTTTGAGCATCATAATTATGTTGGAAGCTTGCAATGGGGTGTTGTAGCTTTTAAAATAAAAATTAAGTAAAAGCTTTTTTTTTCAGCCCCTTCCAGACAGCTTAATAAAATCACACATTATCTGCTTTGAACTGGAATATATGGCAGTGTGAATTTAGATATTCAAAGCAGATATTGTGGTAGTTTTGCCTTGATATTCAGGGTTATATGGCTGTGTGGAAAGGCCCGAAGATGCCACTGTAACAAAATGTTTTTCTGTCCCTAGTCAGGGCTCAATGGCCGGAGGCTGATAAGCTTTCCACTGACTTTGCTGTTTCTGAGAACTGAACTGTTATTGGGGTTCGGAGTAAAAATGGGATCACAGAAAATTCTGCAAATATTTGGCTTTTCCTGTTTTAATGTCTAGGTTGAATTCAAGGTAGAGTGATAGTTTTAATTTCCTTTGTCCTCCCAACAATATTTCAAAATAGACATTTTCTCCTCCTTCTGGAGCCCTATCTCTGTCTCAGCCCTGACAACTTCAAGGAAGGTGTAGCAAAAACCGTCCTTTCTTTGCCGTCCGGAGTGTTTCTCACATTTTTTCTGTTCCCTCACATTACATTATTTTTCCATAGCAATCTACTTTTCCAATTGCCAGTTTCTTGAACACGTGAAGGAGGAAGGAACAAATGTAAATTGATAATGGACATGTAGCCAATGTTGACTCTTTTAAGGGAGCTTTATAAAGCTGTGTATTATTATTATTGCTTATGTTTGGGGTGGGGTATGTTTATTTTTTCCCTCCCCACAGAGGGATGGAAAGGATCATTTCCAGTACTCCTGTTTTAAAACAAAATAAGGGATGCTTGTGGCTGAAACAAAGGAAAATTCTCATAGGATTGATACCTGATTGTCCATTTTATTTTGTATGTGTAATTTTGTGCAAGAAGGATTTAGCAGTCTTTGTAATTTTAGGGTTTAAAATAAAAATGTAAAAGAGCATTTAATAGTCGTGTGTTTCTCTCATTTCTGGGTCTTTGGAAAACACAGCTACACAAAGCAAGGCATTTTCAAATTTCAGGCAAAGTTGTTTCGCCTTAACGTCAGAGGGATGGTTTCTGTTTCAACCTAAAAAGTTCAGTGTGCCAAAAAGGGAGGTTCTATCCCAGTAACAGGCCAATGAAAGGGTCTATTTATGTCTAAACTACCGAATCACCCTTCTGTAGGGATCTGGATATCTGACAGGTTGGAAAAGGGAGGGTTTCACCAAGGAAGGAAAACCCAATGGGATGAGCCACCAGATGGCAGCCTAACAAGTCATCTCACTTTACAATGAAATAAAAAAGGCTGGGGTAAGCAATTGTGTATTTTGGGTTGGGAGTGGAAACTAAGAACCAGTTTAGTACTTGATTTCTTCGCCTATAAATACAATCTGGTGTACTCTATGCTTCAATTAATGCTTTCATGTTACAAGTTTAAGTGAATACAACAGGGTTTTTTTGAGGGGGGGGTGTTCCTGTCAAGAGCGACTTGAGAAACCGCAAGTCGCTTATGGTGTGAGAGAATTGGCAGTCTGCAAGGACATTGCCCTGACGTTTTGATGTTTTACCATCCTTGTGGGAGGCTTCTCTCATGTCCCTGAATGGAGAGCTTTAGCTGACAGAGGGAGCTCATCAGCTCTCTCCCCGGATTCAAACCTTCAACCAGGGGTTCCACAATACACGGGTGTGTACAGTGTTTAAAACCGTAGTATAGCAGTGGTCCCCAACCTTTGGGCTTCCAGGTGTTTTGGACCTCAGCTCCCACAGTTCCTAACACAGTGGTTCTCAACCTGTGGGTCCCCAGATGTTTTGGCCCTCAACTCCCAGAAAACCTAACAGCTGGCAAACTGGCTGGGATTTCTGGGAGTTGTAGACCAAAATACCTGGGGATCCAGAGGTTGAAAACCACTGTCCTAACTGCTGGCAAGCTGGCTGGGATTTCCGGGAGTTGAAGTCCAAAACACCTGGAGGACTAAAGGTTGGGAACCACTAATATAAAGCCATGTATTCGAGAACACAACTCTGTACCTAGAGACATGGTGATTGTTTCAAAACTCCTTACTAGAGTAAATAAGAAGTAAACCCTACAAGCAGTTCTTGTATGAGAGATAAACAAAGTTCAACGAAGGTGTGTTTTTGGATGGCAACTGCTAGAATTCTCCAACTACCCTGACACTCTTCCAAGCTCTGGAAGCTTGCGTGCTTGTCAATCACACACTTCAAACTTGATGAAAATTCTGGGAGACAGAAGGCAACTTCTTGCTGCTTAGTTAACAACAGAAGAAGATGCAATGCCTGAAATAGTCTTCAGATAGTGTTTTAATAGATAGGAATGGAGACAGCTTGAAAAGTATTCATATAGAGCAGGCATGGGCTGTTAGGAATTGTGAGAATTGGAGTCCAAAACACCTGGAGGGCCCAAGTTTGCTCATGCCTGACATAGAGGCAACAAAGAGTAGATATGTGGAGCAACTAAATCTGATATACACACAATGTATCCTTATGTGGAAACAAAATTAGCAGCAGATGCCAGTCTTTGGGTTTTGGGGGAAATTCAGCACCTGCTGCATGCAACTAAATTCAGCACCCTTAAAATCTACTGGTTTCATACTGGGACCATGGCTATATGGTGGCCAAAGGTGGAGAGGAAGAAGGTGTCTCTCTAGTCCGACATTGAAGGTATCCTCCAGGACCTTGCTGGGGGGTTGTGGAGGTCCCAGAGGATAAATTATAATTGTGCACCCAGCCGTGGAGTGTAGCCACTGATCACTAAATGGCCATGTTGGGATGAGCAGCATGAAATAGGTGGGTTTTAAGGAAGGGGAGATGGAGTGCAATCATATTATAATGTATTGATGCCCATCTCCTCATACCCTGACTGCTAATTCAGGATCTTGTCCTTTCATGTATCTACTGGTCATGGATAAAAAATATGTGTCTTTCCAAATGTTGCACTGCAACAGCAGTCATTCCGTCTTGCTAAGGCTAGATCTACATGGTCATATAATTCAGTTTGAATTGCATTATATATGTAGCCACCGTAGACCCATTATATGATCAGTATAGACTCATTAAATGGCAATGTAGATCCAGCCTTTGGCAAATGGGAGTGTCAGTCCAACAACATCTGGAGGGTCACATTTTCTCCTTGTGCTTCAAGATGGGCGAATTGTTTGTGTATAGATAACCATTTTTACTGCACATGCAATTCTTGATTTTGCCGTTTTATATACAATTTCATTATACCATCATATATAATGGAACACAAGGATTCTGGAATCAAACCCAGTGGATACTAAGGGCCCACCGCACACTTTTATTTCTTGCATCCTCAAAGAATCTTGGTGATTCTACCGAATAAGGCTAACCTAGTGAGAGTCAGTATGGATCATTTTCTCCCACCCTGGACATTCCATAGATATATAAACATTGCCTAGTTTCCAACAGACCTCACAACCTCTGAGGATGCCTGGAGAGAATGTTTCTAGAACATGGCCATACAGCCCAGAGAACTCACAGCAACCCAGATCATTTTTGTTCTTGACAATATAGTTCACTAAGAATGAAAAGGAACTTTAAAAAATATTACTAACTGTATATTGTCAGACACAAATAGATACATGAATGGCATGGACCAGTAGATTTGTTGAGCCGGTTTTGTCTTGTCTGTCCAAACAAGCACCCACCCACCAGCAATGTGGTCAAAAAGCCCAGTCACTTCTCGTCTCCACCCTTGCATGTGGATTTAAGGAAGGGTGTGTTGCCATGATAAGTACTGGTCTGAAGTTTGCCATTTCAGAAAATGGATGTTTTACTTTTGAGTCACGATGCGTTTCCATTGTGTATATGTAGGATCTGTTGTTGAGTATTACTATTGATGCCTGCCATAATGAAACTTTTAAAATATGCATGGTACATGGTTTTTTGTTTTTGTTTTTTTCGTGTCAAGAATGACTTGAGAAACTGCAAGTCACTTCTGGTGTGAGGATGTTGCCCAAGGGATGGCCAGATGTTTTACTATCCTGTGGGAGGCCTCTCTTATGTCCCTTCATGAGAACCTGGAGCTGCCAGACAGGAGCTCACCCAGCTCTCCAAATTTGAACCACTGACCTTTCGGTTAGCAGTCCTGCCAGCACAAGGGTTTAACCCATTGCGCCACCAGGGGCTCCTTGGTCATTGATTGGAACCTGGGGGTATAATTTCAATTTTTTAAGTGACAATGTCATGGTATAGTATAATTTTATGCCATTATTAGTTGTATATTACATTTGTAATAGTATAAAACCGCCTCGAGTCGCCGGAAGTCTGAGAGGGGCGGTATACAAATACAGTAAATAAATAAATAAACTAATAATGGCATAATACTAATGGATTTAGTAACAAAATTACAATAACACTGTTGAGTGTAAATGTTATTGCTACAATAACTGGAAAACACACATAATGTAAACACAAAATTGCTATAGCATTATTGGAATTAGGTTTTACTACTATCCCTAAAATGCACAAAGCTATTTCTGTGTCTTCTGGTGGTACATGTGTCATGGAGTGAGAATGGCTGCCATAAAATCCAGCCCTTTATGCTTTGAGCCATTATTCTACATCAAAAGGTGCCACCAAATTTTCAAATACTGCTGTCAGTTTGTACTTGCTGAGCTACCCTTGCTGCCATGAAAATAAATTTGAGGTGGCTTGCGGTGGTGAAGCTCAACCGGTTTGTTGATAGAGATCAGCACATCTACCTGCGTTTTGGATTCTTCTTTTGGGTGTGGCTGTCATGAGAAGCCCCTGCATTTCAAAATATGATCCCATAAAATATACTGCTTGTGCTTCAACAAAACATTATACTTTTGTGAAATGTTCTCTCTATCACCCATGAGAGTTACACTGTGTATGAGACCATTACATGAATTTGGAACACAACCCAAATCCTGTAAAATACAGTTGGCCCTCTAGACCCATCAATTGAATTGGCTGCAGATCATCAGACTCCATACAATTAAATGACAATGACAATGACATGAGCACAGACATGCTAAAACATGTGCATTTATTTTGCTTCCATGGAATAGTATGGGGCATGATCATCCACATTTTTTCATCCCAGAACCAACCCCCCATTGATATTGGAGCACAATTGTATCCTCACCTGAATTGGATTGGCAATTAGAGTCAGTTATTAAGACAGAGCTACTGTTGACATTCAGTTATTTTGCATCTACACCAGGCATGGGCAAACTTTGGCTCTTCATGTGTTTTAGACTTCAACTTCCACAATTCCTAACAGGTGGTAGATTGTTAGGAATTGTGGGAGTTGAAGTCCAAAACACATGGAGACCCGAAGTTTGCCCATGCCTGACCTACACTTTAGAATAAATGCAGTCTGACACCACTTTAACTGTCGTGCATCAGTGCTATGGAATCATGGGAACTTTCATTTTACAAGATATTTGATTTTCTCTGACAAAGAGTGCTGTCCCTCCCCAAACTACGACTCCCAGCTTTCCATAGCATTGAGTCATGGCAGTTCAAATGGTGTCCATGGCTTCTTCTTACCAAAATGCAATGCTCAGCTCTAGAAGTCACCAACATATTCTGTACAGCTGTAGAATAATCTACGAGGGGTATTTTTTAAGTAAGGTCCGTTTTGTTGTAGACACTAGTAGTTCGCGCACACAGGGGCGGCTCAACCCATTACGCAAAGTAAGCATTTGCAGTATAGTTGATTTTGCCCAGGGGCGCTCTTGAGGTGCTCTTGGGGGACAATAGACCTTGACATATGCGAGTTGTAGTTACTGGGATGTATAGTTCACCTACAATCAAAGAGCATTCTGAACTCCACCAATGATGGAATTGAACCAAATATGGCACACAGAACTCCCATGACGAACAGAAAATATATATCAGTGATTGGTTGGGGGGGGGGCAGAAATTCATCGACAGATTTGTGAAGTGTACGGT